TTTTTGTTCACTGCTGCACCCCTGCCCACAGGCACCTGGAAGTATTTGTTCAGTGAACACACGAGAAGCTTATAAAAGAGAAGGCAGGACACAATGGGAAATGCATTTAGTGGCTTTTGGTATTAGAGATATTTCTGGGGCCAAATGGCTCCCAAAGCAAGTTTTATTTTCTGTTAAAGCTTAGTTTAAAACCAAGCTTTGCTGGCAAATTTCACTTTGAGCCTCTCTTTGATTTAGTTTGAAAGTCTTAACGTTTAATCGCTTATATCTTCTGCACATTTGACCAAGGTCTCTCCCGACTAGCTGCTACCGGTTATCTACGGCCGGCATCTGAACACCTACTGGTCAGTGCTTCCTTAACAGTGTCTCCTATAACCAAGGCCTCTTGCAGGAGGGTTAGCCACCAGACCACGGGCTCCACTCTGGACTGGATGCTACACTGCTGACTTTGAAGGTAAAGTGTCGTGATTTTGTTCAGACTGATGCCACCGGATTTGCCTAAAAGCAATAGGGATTCTAGAGGGAGAAGCATTTTCCTATCTGAAGGATGGATAGACATAAGTACCCACCTACTTATGTACCCTCCCTCCATAAGTACCCTCCCACCTGGCAGGAGGAGGCTGACCCTCTACCACTGAACCTGAAACTCTCAGGAGGCTTTCGAGGTGTCCTTCAAGAAGACCTTCCTTTACTCAAGGAGGCGAGATGCCACTAGCAACTCAATTCAAACGTGTAACCTGCTCAGTAAAAAACAAATGTAAGAATGGGGGCAGGGGGGAGTAAGAGGTACAATCTACTGGGTAAAAATTAAGCGACAAGGACACATTGCATAACATGTGGAATATAGCCAATATTCTATAATAACTATAAATGGAGTATAACCTTTAAAAATTGTGAATCACTATATTGTACACCTGTAACTTACAGAATACTGTATGTTAACTATACTTTAATAAAAAAAAAAAACAACTCGGAACTTTTAGACTCACTCTCCGTCTTCTGGGGGGAAGGTAAAGGGAGTGGAGATTGAGTTAATAATGCATTATGCCCATGTTGAAGCCTCCATAAAAATCCCTAAACCATGAGGTCTGGAGAACTCCTGGGTTGGTGTAATACCCACATGCCGGGCGGGTGGTACAACCACCTCCACGGGGACAAAGCTTCTGACCTTGGGACACATCCACACCTCACCTGACGGACCTCTTCATCTGACTGCTCACCTGCATCCCTTAAAAAAAAGGGATGGGGAATGGAGGGCGATGTGAGGTCAGCCCCACCGCAGTCCCATAAAGGCTCCCTGACACGGGGCACAGGGTGCTCACCTAGAGCTTTCACGTCCCCAAGTACTTCCTAACTGCCCTGGGCCTGTTCTCTTAACTGTAAAACGAGGTTCCTAACCCAAGTTTTCTCTAAATTCCTTCCCAATTCTAAGATGCCCAAATTTGGGAGGCGGGTAACTTCACTGCATTGGACTGGGCTGGTCAACAATTCCTTTAAAACAAAAGCAATCTGTCTCCTGTTCCACTTCCTTAGACACCATTCCGCTTGTTCACCATCTTTTCTTTTGACAACTTGCTCCCTCTAGTGATAAATTCAATCATGTATCAGAATTGGCCTGGGCAGCAGTCTGCTTCAGAGGACAAGAACGCGTAGAGGAAATGCAGCGTTAAGCAGAATGAAGGGAGGCCGAAGACGCAGGTGGAGAGAGGACGAGAAGAGCCCAAGGGCCATCAGCACCTGCAGTGTGCCCGTGACTGCTCCAGCGCCTGTGCCTCACGAGCAGTTCTGACTGCGGTACCTCCTTCCTCACGTCAAATCCAGACTCAGTTCCTTTTTCCCTTAGCAAGATACAGGCTATATTAGGATTTCTGGAGATGGTCACCCGTCTAACGCGGACAACCACGCACATCTGCTCTAAGCACATGGGCTAAGCGGCTGCTAAGACATGAAGCCCTGTGCTCATCGTCGGTTTTCCGGCACGGATGGTTTTGATTAAAAGCACGCACTGTGCGGGGCCCCGACCAAGCTCCCAGCCTTCTCAGCGTCCCTTGTGTCACCACCACAGAAATGCATGACTAGCCTCCTTCCTCCTCCCAGACTGCATGACAAACATCAGGGCCGTTCCTGGCCATCAATCTTCCCTGTATACAAATGTGGGTTACATTTTTCTAGCTTAGGTCCACAAAAAGAAATAAATCTCCACGATGTCTACAGAGATTAAGGTTAAACAACAGAAAGGTTTTCTTAGCCATGCTCTGGTTACGGATATATGGGTGAGAGGCTGAAGAATCTTCGAGAAGAGGAGAGCATCTGTACACATTTGGAATCATTGGAGTTGCAGCTCTGACCGGAGATAGAGTTTCCTTTCTACCCTTAAAGTACAGTATTATCACCGACTGATTCCACGTACGCAAAGCTCAAGAGCAGGCAACACTGCTCTACGGTGGCGGCAATCGGAGAGTGGCTGCCTCTCAGGACAGGGGATGGGGGATGAGGGAACTTTTCAAGGTGACGGAAAAGTTCTGCGTCTTGACTTGAGTGGTGGTTACACCACTGATTACAACTGTCAAAACTCATCCGACAGTACACTTTAGGTCTGTGCAGTTCACCGATTGTAAATCTACCCCAATTTAAAATAACAGATGTCAGAGTCTTGGGAAGAGTTAACTTAAAAAACAGTATATTCCTGGAGTGGGAGAGCGGTTGTGACACAGTCCTGACCACCTTGAGGTTAGATTTACACAATTTACAGGGACGGGCCTGTTGTTCTGTGGGCCCGTATGGATCCCGGCATCACGCCTGCCAGGACTGGATGAGCGCTCGGGAGAGAACCAGTCAGAGCTGCGCTAACACAGGCCGGGGTCAGGATGCTGCCGCCCCTGGGCACCGTGGTGGGCAGGAGACATGCTGGGCGTGCTGTGAGTGCTGGCGCGCCTGCACACACTCAGTTACCATTAGAGAGAGGACTGGCCCTTCATTCCTCTCTGAAGACTCACACTGGCGTCTGCTGGATACGCGGTGAACGCTGGCAGATGCCTCGAGCAATGGGATGAGTGGACCATTTTTCAGTCTGACAAATGACTCTATGTCAAATCTCACCAATCAGAAAATCTTTTCTGTAATGGTCGTTCAGTGAACTTCTCTGGGAAGCATGGCATCAGAGGCACCTTCGTGGCCCTTGCCTGGTGCACCAGGCAAGGACTTTTCACACCAAGTAGCTTAGAAACGTGCAGCCAAAGATTTTCACTGACAGAGACGCTGGCCAACGCCAAGCTCTCCTGTGTAACTCCCTCCGTGGAGCTCACCGGCCTCTATGACCCTCTATGGGTGACGGGCCACTTCAGTGCTCTGTAGTCAGCACCCGGGATCTCTCGTTAGGGGTTTTCTAATATAGTTCCCCACAGAGGCTCTCCTGCGTTCACTCTTCATCCCCTGAAGCCTCCCCAAGCCCCTGTGGAATGAAGTCACTGTCGTGTGCACACCCCCTCTGCCCTGGGGAGCCTCCACGCGGCATCTGCACCCAACGCCCACTCCTCCCCGTGAGGCAGCCCCAGCTGCAGCTGCACGCAGGCAGCTCTCACCACGCCACCACGGGCACTGCTTTCTGGAGGTCCCTGCTGACTGTTTAGGATCTCGACCAAAATATAGGCAGGTCAATGACATAATATAGCATTTCTACTTCCTCTGCTAAAAACAAATTAGTTTTCATTTTCAGTATGAGTTATTAAACATATTCTGAGAACATACTGTCACGTAACTGTAGGGTAGAAAAAAGGCCATCTTCTTACATAATTCCCAATAGAAATGTTCATGGATTCTCAATTCATTTAGTCAAAACCAAACCCCTTCCTTCTTGAAAAGTGGTACTAGGGACTTCCCTGGTGGTCCAGTGGTTACAACTCGGCGCTTTCACTGCCGTGGCCCGATTTGATCCCCGGTCAGGGAACTAAGATCCTGCAACCTGTGTAGTGAGGCCAAATAAACAAACAAACAAAAACGAAACACAACAAAACAAAAACCAAAGAAAAATGGTACTAATGGTACTAGAAAAGCATTAACTTTCTATCACATGTGAGTGGCGTACAGGAACCTGGAGCTTCAGGAGAGCTGGCCTGGGGTGCCCACAGCAGAGAAGAGCTGGGTGCCAGGCCTTAAGGGGTCTGGTTACACAAGAGCCAAGAAGCTAAACCTTACTTCAAAGTCCAATGTAAGTGACTTCTGGACTGTTTACACTGCTCACTCTGTGTCCCTCTCTGTTAGCGTGGAGAGGACGTGGGTCCATAGGAAACACCACCACACGCTTCACTTTTCTTCCCAAGACCTCAAAATATTTCATACGATCCAACAGCACAACAGAGAAAAAGAGCCCCAACTGCGCTAGAACCTGGCACGAGGCACTGAAAAATGCAGGAAACTAGCTCAACAACACGGGCATTGTTACACCATTTAAGAAAACGGGGGGCTCCCTGGTGGTGCAGTGGTTAAGAATCCGCCTGCCAATGCAGGGGACACGGGTTCGTCCCTGGTCCAGGAAGATCCCACATGCCGCGGGGCAACTGAGCCCATGCACCACAGCTACGGAGCCTGCGCTCTAGAGCCCACGAGCCACAACTACTGAGCCCTCGTGCCACAACCACTGAAGCCTGTGCACCTAGAGCCTGTGCTCCACAACAAGAGAAGCCACCTCAATGAGAAGCTTGCGCACTGCAACGAAGAGTAGCCCCCGCTCGCTGCAACTAGAGAAAGCCCGCGCACAGCAACGAAGACCCAACGCGGCCAAAAATAAAATAAATAAACAAATTTAAAGAAAAAGAAAAGAAAACAGTACACCAGCGAGCACCCGTCCCATCTTGCAGAGGAGTGTCCACCTCCAAACTCTCCCTTGACCCAAGTCTGCACAGAGCCTGCTCTTCCTTCTGTTAACTGTGTGCACGCAAGCAGGCATGAGCCCTACGGGGACGCTGAGCCCCACGGCGGCAGCCTCACTGCTGGTTGCTTACCCACGCTGCTTTCACCTCTTCCGAGACATCAGTTTCATCTTCCTGGAAAGGGAGAAAGAACAAAGACAAGAGGATCACGGTCACAGGCATCCCTGGAGGCAACAAGGTCAGCCCCATCAATTATGCACCTGGGCAGTGAGGGCTGACGGCCAAGAGCACTGTCACTGCTGCTTTTAGCAGCACCTCAGGAGCACCACTTGCTGTCAAAGAGTCCAATGAACCTGGCAGGAAAAGGAGAATCTTTAAGACAGACGGACCTCACTTGGGCTTTGTCAGTAGCTGTCAGCCCATTTGGTCCTATAATAATCAAACACTTTCGTCTAGTAGCTTCTAACAGGCGACCATCATTGTCTCATTTCTTGTCTCACTGAATGGTCCATCTAATTCCAAATGAGTCACTAGTGACCAGGGACCCGATCTTGGCCACTTGATTGTTAAATGCCAGTGACAAGGCTGAGTGAGCAGGGTACAGACCAGAGGGGAAGGAAAGAACTGAGTGTGTGCTCGTCATCAGGAGGCACAGCAGCCCCTGTCTTCATTTAAAAGCCAAAGTCAAGCTGTTTTATACCACTTGTTCTTTTTTTCTCCAAAAGAGTAAACCTGAGTCAGATGAAATGCTGAAATTCTCGCGATTCTGGCAGTGCCCCTGAAATACTTGGTTAGCACCTGCACACACACGGTGTTGAGGTATTGCTGACTCACCATGGGACTCTCAGGGGCCGCTGGGGGGCTGCTAAGTCTGAGTGGCTTGTGTACTTGTTATATTTGTTTGCGCGGCTGCTGTAAATTCACTGCTTATTTGCTGCCTGCCTCCCGTGTGCTCGGCACTGTCCTAGGCCCTGGGCGTCCCAGCCAGAACAACTCCAAATGAGTCCCACACTAGTGGAGTCTTTCTTCTTCTGCTCTTTTTCTCAGTGATGCCTCCTGACAATCTGCACGATTCATGGCCCTGTGCGGAACTCTTTCTTTTGAGCCTGACACACAGGACGGCGGGCAGCACAGGGTAATGCGAGATGTCCCAGCACAGACAGCCCACTTACATCCTTCGTCCAGAAGTTGATGCCTGTGCCTCTTCGTCGCTCCTTGGGCCGCCTCCGCTCACGAATGGACAGCCTGTTAGAGGACTGATCACCCAAATCTGCTTCTTCGCCCTCTGGTCAGAGAGAAAACAAAGCATGGATCTTAAGAACCTGGGGCACGTGCACTGGAGGAGGGTGTGGTTTCTGAAGCTCGACCTACCGTTTTTGTCCATTTCCTTTGCCCCTGCAGGGCTGGCGGGGGGCTCTGAACTCTCTGAATCAGGGGCTGAAGACCTACCCGTCCGGAGCAGGTAGGAACTGGTGTAGAGGGAGGGTCTCGGGGCAGGAGGTGACACTGGTGTCATGGGTTTGTCTGGCTGAGCCGGACACCTCAGGCGACGATACACAGGCTGGAACAATCCACATGATGAGATGTCAGAGGTCAAGTCTAACCAAAGGGTAAGGACAGCACGTTTATTAAAAATGGGCTTTTCTATATCAAGAGGCTTATAAGTAATTAGCCAGATAGGAAAGAGTTCTAGACGCCTGCTCTGAAGATGCTACAGGCTGACAGCAGTCCAGGACAGCTCTTCCTAAACTGATCAAAGGGCACTAGGGGGCACCAACCTTGGTAATAAAAATTCCTTTGATTTTGCAACGCAAATAGGAAGGATGATGGCCTTTTTAAGATGGCGCACTGAAAGGTAAGGTTTACGTAGGAAACGAAAAAGCTCAGGAATATGAAGAAACAATGTAGGAGTTATCTGAAAACAGACCAAATCTGAGCTTTCTACCAACTTGCCATAACTAGTTGAGACTTCTCTGGCGGTCCAGCGGTTAAGACCACGTGCTTCTACTGCAGCGGGCACAGGTTTGATCCCTAGTTGGGGAACTAAGATCCTGCATGCCACACCCCCACCCCCAAAATAAATAAAAATTAAAAAAAAAAATTCCCACTTTCCCTTTTGAACTTTTTTTTTCCTTGAGAGTTAGGACAGACAGAGCTTGACAATAAACCTTAATGTGGTTTGTTGAACGTGCAGAGATAAAGAAATTCTTACTACATGCAGAGACTATAAATTTTTGTTTATAAATTATAGAGACAGAAGCAATGAAATATAGTCAGCTTGGGAGTCTGAGAGAACGTGGCTGAAATTCCAGCTTGAAGGAGCTGTGTGACCTGAAGTAAGTGACTTGAGTTTTGATCTCTGCTTCCTCATGTATAAAACAGGGATAATAATATCTTCCTCAGAGAGGGCTGTGAGGATTAAATGAGAATGTTATGTTATGTGCTTACAACGGTCCCTAGTATGTAATAAGTACTCAAAAAATAGCCGATAAAACAAATGAAATGAACAACAGAACCTCAGTTAGTTTATGCAGCCTAGCCATTCAAAGTTAGAGCAAGAAGACTTTCTTCTCCTGTAATTATGCTGGCCATAAAGTTTATCATCCCAACTAGCACATTTCTGAGAGTGAAAAGGAACAGTATTGATAATTACCCAGAGATAAAAGCTGTCACTGGAACAATCTCAGGTAAACCAGGAGTTACAATCACCTTAAATATAACCCTATAACTTTGACTACCAACTGCAATTGAGAAATGGAACGTAAGTCAAAACGTCTACCCCGAAGTGACAGCTTGTGGCCGAGAATAAGGGTGCTCTGTGAGTGCTTGGGTCTGCAGAAGTTTGTAGAACAACGTACTAGTGGTGGGGAGGGCAAGCTGCGGAGCCAACGCCTCGCTCCACCTCTGCTTTTTTTTTTTTCCAGTAAAATCTTTTATTTTATAATACTGTACCATCAAATTAAAAGTCAAAATAAGCGTTCACCCAATTGCCTAAATGGTTATTATATATACGTATATATTTGGTTGAAAAGGGAGAGAGAAAAGAGGAATTTGAAGGCTAAAATAAACAAATGGGACCTAATGAAACTTAAAAGCTTTTGCACAGCAAAGGAAACCATAAACAAGACCGAAAGACAACCCTCAGAATGGGAGAAAATATTTGCAGATGAAGCAACTGACAAAGGATTAATTTCCAAAATTTACAAGCAGCTCATGCAACTCAATAAGAGAAAAGCAAACAACCCAATCCAAAAATGGGCAGAAGACCTAAATAGACATTTCTCCAAAGAAGATATACAGACTGCCAACAAACACGTGAAATAATGCTCAACAGCATTAATCATTAGAGAAATGCAAATCAAAAGTACAATGAGATATCATCTCACACCGGTCAGAATGGCCATCATCAAAAAATCTAGAAACAATAAATGCTGGAGAGGGTGTGGAGAAAAGGGAACCCTCTTGCACTGTTGGTGGGAACGTAAATTGGTACAGCCACTATGGAGAACAGTATGTAGGTTCCTTAAAAAACTACGAATAGAACGACCATATGACCCAGCAATCCCACTACTGGGCATATACTCTGAGAAAACCATAATTCAAAAAGAGTCACGTACCAAAATGTTCATTGCAGCTCTATTTACAATAGCCAGGACATGGAAGCAACCTAAGTGTCCATCATCGGATGAACAGATAAAGAAGATGTGGCACATACATACAATGGAATATTACTCAGCCATAAAAGGAAACGAAATTGAGTTATTTGTAGTGGGGTGGATGGACCTAGAGTCTGTCATACAGAGTGAAGTAAGTCAGAAAGAGAAAGACAAATACCGTACGCTAACACATATATATGGAATCTAAAAAAAAAAAATGTCATGAGGAACCTAGGGTTAAGACAGGAATAAAGACACAGACCTACTAGAGAATGGACTTGAGGATATGGGGAGGGGGAAGGGTAAGCTGTGACAAAGCGAGAGAGTGGCATGGACATATACACACTACCAAACGTAAAACAGATAGTGGGAAGCAGCCGCATAGCACAGGGAGATCAGCTCGGTGCTTTGTGACCACCTGGAGGGGTGGGATAGGGAGGGTGGGAGGGAGGGAGACGCAAGAGGGAAGAGATATGGGAACATATGTATATATATAGCTGATTCACTTTGTTATAAAGCAGAAACTAACGCACCATTGTAAAGCAATTATACCCCAATAAAGATGTCAAAAAAAAAAGAATGAAAAAAAAGTACATCATCATCATCGTAGTAGTTAAGATTTGCTGAACACTTAATGTGTCAAGCACTATACATGTATTACCTCACAAGGTGTACCCTCTATTATAAGCTCTGTTTTTACAAATTAGGAAACTATGTAAAACAAGGTTAAATAAATTACCCAAAGCCATACAGCTAGTTAGTAAGGATACTGCGGTTTGAACCCAAATAGTCTAACACCAGAACATACACAGATAGGCAGACACACACACAAATCAATATTATTATTATTTTCGTCGCGTGGCTTGTGGGATCTTAGTTCCCCGACGAGGTATCGAACCTGGGCGGCCAGCAGTGAAGGCGCCAATTCCTAACCACTGGACCGCCAGGGAAGTCCTTGACCTCTTCCTAGCCGTGCAAAATGCTGGGCAGGTTACTTAACCTCTCTGTCACTCCACTGACTCATATTTTAAGAAGGAATAATAATACTTACCTCAGAGGGCTGTTGTGAGGATTAAACAATTTAATACACATATTGAAATTGTTAAAATAGTGCCTGGCATAAACTAAATAATAAATGCTTATACTTTTATTTGCATTTTTTTTATACCAAGATCTCTCTTTTTAGAATAGAAAGACACATTTAGTTAACCAAAAGTATGGTGGTAATCATTTCACAACGTGTACACACATCAAATCATGTTGCAACATTACATGTCCATTACATCTCAATAAAACTGGAAAAAAGCTCATTAGTTAACTCCCAGAGGAAAAAATTGATCACTTAAGGACTAACATCTTCTGAATTCTTTCAATTACACAGGTCTGCCAACTAAAGATGCACGTAGCGTGTTCTATGAGGCGTCCCCTGCAGGGTAGGACAGTTCTGGAGTTATCAGTGAGGAAGAGACTCCCCCAGCCACCTGCTTTCAGCACAGAGGGCTCACCTGATCCTCCAGACTCTGGTCCCAGGGCTGGCGGCTCTCCCCAGCTTCCTCTGCAGGGGCTGCCAGGGGCTCGTGCTTCTGGGCGCCGCCATCGAGCCCTCTGGGGCCCACGGGCTTCGGGCTGAGCTGTTCCTGAGCCTGACGCTCTGCCCTCGACCGGCTGAACGTCCTTTCTGCTTCCTGGAGATCCGTCAGGGTTACACCCTGGGAAAATACCACAAGGTCAGAGAGGTTTCACCCTAACCATGGAACAACGCCCCGTGAATGAGCAGGGAAACTCCGTAAAGATCTAACGGTACCAAATTCCAAATGAAGCTCCCGAAATGTGTGAGGCCGCTTCAAGCAATACACGCTGAAAACAAACACCTCAGTATGCAGAGGCCCCAGGCCTGAGCCTAGATACACTTCAAACACAATACTTGAGCGTTTCCTACTTGAGTTCCAGAAACAGGGCAGCACTGACGCCTGCCCGCTGCTTCCACACCCATGGTTCTCACATCTCCACCTGCACGCTCCCGACCCCCCAAGAGCACGCAGCCACCAACAGAGACTGTCCAGCAGATACAAGGAAAACTTAAGTTTACGCACAGAAAGAAGAACCAGGCTCAAAATGGTGAAAATTCAGAGCCAGGCTAGAACCACCACCAAAACCAAACACCAAACCCACACAAATAAACACAAAAGCAACCCTGCGGGAGCTGCCAAAATGCCAGAGCAGGAAGACCCTGAGCCCACCTCTTCCTAGGGCAGCAGGATAACTATGCACAGAACAACTGCTGACCAGGGGCGACCAGAAGACATCTTCGACAACTACAGACGTGCCCAAAGAGCCACAGCAAGACGGGTAGGAGGGGCGACCCGCAAACGGGAGAATACTTACAGCTGTGGAGGCTCTCCCCCAGGAGCGAGCGGTCTGAGCCCCAGCCTGGGGGTCCTGCGCTGGGGGAGACAAGCCCCCAGAACGTCTGGCTTTGAAGGCCAGCAGGGCTTCCTTTCAGGAGTCCCAGAGGGCTGTGTGGGGATAGAGACCCCACTCTTACAGAGCACACACAAAATCTCACACGCTCCACAACCCAGGGCAGAAGCAGTAATTTCAAAGGAGCCTGGGTCAGACCCACCTGCTGATCTTGGAGAGTCTCCCGGAGAGGCAGGCCTGTGATGCTGGGGACACAGACGCTGGCCGCAGCCACTCTGGGGAGCTGGTTCAACCGCAAGGACACTGGTGCAGGCAGGCACCATTGTGGAATCCTCCCTCTAGCTTATTACCCTCAGGACCCAGCCCTGCTCATAGCCAACAGAACACAGCCACCAGGAAGGGGACGGCCTCAGGCCAAGCAGCTAACTAGGCAGGCACACAGGCCCACCCACCAGCAGACAGGCTGCCTTATGACCCCCCTGGACACAGCCCTGCCCACCAGAGGTCCCAGGACCCAGCCCCACACACCAGTGCACAGGCACTAGACCCGGGGCCACCAGGGACCTACAGCCAGAGACCCTGGGACCCAGCTCCACCAACCAGTGGGCAGATACCAGCCCCAGAAACCCCTGGGCCCCGGCCCTGCCCACCAGTAAGCCTCCTCTAGCCTTCAGACCAGCCTCACATGCCAATGGGTGGACACCACACCAATGGGTGGACACCAGCCCCAGAACAATCACAGCCCACAGCCTGCCGTGGGAGGACCCAGTCCATCCACCAGCAGGTCAGCACCAACCCTGGGGCCAGCTGGGCCCCAGCCCTGCCCACCAGCAGGCCAACACAAGCTTCAGAACACACAGGACCCCACAGCCAGCTGTATCACGAACCAGCCCCAACAATCAGCAGCCTGACACCAGCTCTGGACCCTGGGGCCCTGCAGCCAGACCCCCAGGACCCGGCTCTGCCCACCAGCAGGCCAGCACTCGCCCCAGGACCTAGCTTCACTCACCAGTGAAGTGGGCAGGCTACAGCCCCACTGACTCTATTCCCAGTGAGCCAGCACTAGCCCTGGGGCCCCCCTGGGTTCCACAGTCAGCCACCTCATGACCTGGTCATGGCAACCAGCAGCCAGCAGCCTCCACACAAGGCAGGGCCTGGCAACCAACCAGCCCACCCACATAGTCAGCCCACCGCAACAGAATGACCCACGCAGCTCACAGAGGGGGCACCCCTAGAGCATACAGCTCTGGTGACCAGAGAGGAGTGCACTGCTGGGACGTACAGGACGCCTCCTACAGAAGGCCACTTCCCCAAGGTCAAGAAACGTAACCAACCTACCAGACACATGGAAACACAAACGGCAAGTTAGGCAAAATGAGGCGACAGAAGATCATGCTCCAGATGAAAGAACAAAAGATAAAACCACAGAAGGTCAAGTAAGTGAAGTGGAGACACAGGCGAGAATCTACCTGAGAAGAAGTTGAAGGCTATGATCGTAAAGATGTGACCAAAGGACTTAAGAGTGGACACAGCGAGGAGTTGTAAGGTTTTAACAGAGTTGGACAATACAAAGAACAACCAAACAGAGATGAAGAAAACAATAACTGAAATGAAAAATGCACTAGAAGGAGTCAACAGCATGTACTAAATGATACAGAGGAACAGACCAGTGAGCTGGAAGACAGAATAGTGGAGATCACTGCCACCGAACAGAAAAAATATATACATATAAATAAACGAGGACACTTTAAGAGGCCTCTAAGATGACATCAAATGCACTAACAGTCACATCACAGAGGTCCCAAAAGGAGAAGAGAGAGAGAGAAAGGGTCACAGAACATATTTGAAGACATAACAGTTGAAAATTTCCCTAACCTGGGAAGGGAAACAGACATCCAGGTCCAGGAAGCACAGAGTCCCAAACAGGATCAACCCAAAGAGGACCACACCAAGACATATTGGAATTAAAATGGCAAAAGTTAAAGACAGAATACTAAAAGCAGCATGTTATATATAAGGGAACTCCCATAAAGCTATCAGCTGACTTTTCAGCAGAAACTCTGCAGGCCAGAAGGGAGTGGCACAGTACAATTAGACTGATGAAAAGGAAAAGCCTACAACCAAGAATGCTCTACCCAGCAAGGCTCTCATTCAGAGTTGATGGAGAAGGCAAAAGCTTTACACACAAGCAAAAGCTAAAGGAGTTCAGCACGAACAAACCAGCTTTATAAGAAACGTTAAAGGTATTTCTCTAAGCAAAAGAAAGGAAGAAGAAAAAAAAAAGAAAACAAAAAAAGATCACAACTAAAAACATGAAAATTATGAAAGGAAAAATCTCACTGGTAAAGGCAAATATACAGTAAAGGTAGTAAATCAACCAAGTACAAACCTACTAGAAAGGTTAAAAGACAAAGCAGTAAAATCAACTATATCCACAATAAGAAGTTAAGGGATACACAAAATGAAAGGATATAAAATATGATGTCAAAAACAGTAATCATGGGGGGAGAGAAGAAAAAATGCAGGGTTATTAAAATGTTATTTGAAATTAAAGAGATCAGTGACTTGAAATAATTGTGTGTGTGTGTGTGGGTGGGTGGGTGGGTGGGTGGGTGGGGGCTGAATTTTTTTTTATTTTGGACAGGAATATCCCTCATGACACTTGGGAATTTGAAAGACTGCACCCACCCACACACACACACACATATTCCTATATGCAAACTTCATGGTAATTACAAACCAAAAAATCTATAATAGATACATACACATGAAAGGGAAGGAAATCCAAACATAACACTAAAGAGAGTCATCAAATCACAAGGGAAGAGAACAAAAGAGGAAAGGAATGAAAAAGGACTAAAAAAACAATCCCAAAACAGTAACAAAATGGCACTAAGTACATACATATCAATAACTATTTTATATGAGATGGATTAAATGCTGCAACCAAAAGATGGAGTGGCTGAAAGGATACAAAAACAAGACCCATATATTGGGCCTGGCCAAAAAGCTCGTTCAGTTTTTCTGTAAGATGTTATGGAAAAACCCAAATGAACTTTTTGGCCAACCCAATATATGCTGCCTACAGGAGACACACTTCAGATCTAAAGACACACACAGACTGAAAGTAAGGGAATGGAAAAAGGTATTCCATACAAATGGAAATGCAAAGAAAGTTGGGTAGCAATACTTATAACAGAAAAATAAACTTTAAAATAGAGACTGTTGGGACTTCCCTGGTGGCACAGTGGTTAAGAATCCACCTGCCAGTGTGGGAGATGTGGGTTCAATCCCTGGTCTGGGAAGATCCCACATGCCGTGGAGCAACTAATCCCATGTGCCACAATTACCGAGCCTGAGCTCTAGAGCCCGCACGCCACAACTACTGAGCCCACGTGTTGCAACTACTGAAGCCCACGCGCCTAGAGTCTGTGCTCCACAATAAGAGAAGCCACCGCAATGAGAAGCCCACACACTGCAACGAAGAGTAGCCCCCGCTCGCCACAACTAGAGAAGGCCTGTGCACAGCAACAAAGACCCAACACAGCCATAAATAAATAAATAAACAAACAAACAAATAAATAATAAAAATAAAATAAAGACTGTTACAAGAGACAAAGAAGGACAGTACATAATAATCAAGGGCTGAATCCAAGAAGAAGATATAACAATTGAAAATATATTTGCACCCAACATAGAAGCACCTAAATGAATAAAGCAAATATTAATAGACATAAAGGGAGAAATCAACAGTAACACAAAAACAGTAGGGGACTTTAACACCCCACTTACATCAATGGACAGATCATCCACACAGAAAATCAGTAAGGAAACTCTGGCCTTAAATGGCACATTAGACCAGATGGACTTAATATATAGAGAGAATATTCCATCCAAAAGCAGCAGAATACACATTCTTTTCAAATTCCTATTCTCCAGGATACATCTGTGCTATATCATGAAACAAGTCACAGTACATTTAAGAAGGCTGCAATCATATCAAGCATCTTTTCCAACCACAAGGCTATGAGACTAGAAATCAACTACAAGAATAAAAACCACAGAAAACACAAACATGTGTGGCCCAAACAAAACGCTACTAAACAACCAATGGATCACTGAAAAAATCAAAGAAGAATTCAAAATATACCTGGAGACAAATGAAATGAAAACACAGTGTTCCAAGATCTTCAGGATGTTGCAAAGCAATTCTAAGAGGGAAGTTTATAGCAATACAGCCCTCTCAGGAAACAAGAAAAGCCTCAAATAAACAACCTAACCTTAACCTAAAGGAGTTAGAAAAAGAAGAAGAAGCAAAACCCAAAGTTAGCAGAATTTCTCCTGGAGAACACATAGGCAGAACACTCTTTGACATAAATCACAGCAGTATTTTTTTGGATCTGTCTCCTACGGCAAGGAAACAAAAACAAAAATAAGCAAATGGGACCTAATGAAACTTAAAAGTTTTTGCACAGTAAAGGAAACCATCCACAAAACGAAAAGACAAATGGGAAAGACTGAATGGGAGAAAATATTTGCAAATGATATGACCAACAAAGGGTTAATCTCCAAAATATATAATCAGCTCATACAACTCAATATCAAAAAAACAAACAAGCCAATTTAAAAATGGGCTGAAGACCTGAATAGACATTTTTCCAAAGAAGACATACAGATGGCCAACAGGTACATGAAAAGATGCTCAAGATCACTCATCATCAGGGAAACGCAAATCAAAACCACAGTGAGATGTCACCTCGCACCTGTCAGAATGGCTGTCATCAGAAAGACCATAAATGACAAATGCAGAGAAAAGGGAACCCTAGTACACTGTTGATGGGAGTGTACACTGGTGAAGCAGGTGGAAAACAGTATAGAGGATCCTCAGTAAACTAAAAATAGAACTCCCATATGATCCAGCAATTCCACTCCTGGGCATATATCTGAAAAAAACAAAAACACTAATTCGAAAAGACACATGCACCCCAATATTCACGGCAGCATTATTTACAACTGCCAAGATATGGAAGCCATCTAGCTGTCTATCAACAGATGCATGCATACAGAAGACGTGAGACACACACAGACCCACACATATATACACATACTCCATATATGCATACATACATATATGGAGTATTAATTTGCCATTGGCATGAAATTTTGCCACTTGCAACAACATGGATGGACCTGGAGTGTATCATGCTGATCGAAAAAAGTCAGAGGACAAATACTGTCAGATATCACTTCTATGTGGAATCTAAAAAATAAAATAACCTAGTGAATATGACAAAAAAGACACAGACTCACAGATATAGAGAAAAAACCAGTGGTTGCCAGAGGGAGAGGAAAGGGGGAGGGAAACGCTGGGGCAGGGGATTAAGAGGTACAACTTATTATGCATAAAATAAGCTACAAGGATATATTTACAACACAGGGAGTACAGCCAATATTTTACAACTATAAATGGCATATAATCTTTTTTTTTTTTTTTTTTTTTTTTTTTTTTTTTTTTTTTTTTTTTTTTTTTTTTTGCAGTATGCGGGCCTCTCACTGTTGTGGTCTCTCCCGTTGCGGAGCACAGGCTCCGGATGCGCAGGCCTAGCGGCCATGGCTCACAGGCCCAGCCACTCCGTGGCATGTGGGATCTTCCCGGACCGGGGCACGAACCCGCGTCCCCTGCGTCGGCAGGCGGACTCTCAACCACTGTGCCACCAGGGAAGCCCTAGCATATAATCTTAAAAAATGTTATTCAGTATGATGTACACCTGAAGCTAACAATATTGTAAACCAACTATACCTCCATTTTAAAAAACTAAAAAAAAACAAAACCCGCAAGCCCTGAACTAGCTTTTCTCTAACATAATTTTCTAACTATAGGAATCACACAGAGACATTTCCACCAATTAAAATTTTCCCCAGGCTCATAGGAGCTGTAGTACAGAAAAAAAGGAAATAATGAGGAGACATCTGCAGGAGAAGGGGGAAAAGGGTTAGGAAGAGAGTGAGTCGATTCTTAACTCAAGTAGTCATATGCTCACGTCCTCAGAAGAGGGAAGTTCCAAAGCCGGAAGGCAACTATTAGCTAATATGTTCACTCATTCTCTTAATAAAAAGTTACTGCGTTTTTAAGCACTGGAACTACAAAGACAAATCAAATGATTCCTGTACTCAAGAACCATAATCTAATGGAAAAGACATAAGAAAACAGATGATGGAAAGTAATAATGGAAAGTAAGTATTAAGACAGAAACATATGATCCAGCCTATTCTATTTCTGGGTCTGTACCCAAAAGAACTAAAAGCAGGGTCTGATGAGATATTTGCACAACGATGTTCACAGCAAGACTGTTCACAGCAGCCAAAAGGTGGAAGCAATCTAAGTGTCCATCAACGGATGATGGATGAACCAAATGTGGTCTAAACATACAACAAAATATTATTCAGCCTTACAAAGGAAGGCAATTCTGACATGTGCTACCACATGGATGAACCTTGAAGACATTACACTGAGTGAAACAAGCCAGTCACAAAAAAGACAAAAACTGTGTGATTCCACTCACATGAGCTACCTAGAGTCAAGGTCATAGAGATAAAAAGTAGAACGGTGTTGCCAGAAGCTGTGGGGAGAGAGGGAGCTGTTTAATGGGTAGAGAGGTTCAGTTTGGGGAGACGAAAGCTGTTCTGGAGATGGATGGTGATGACTGCACAGTGATGTGAATGCATTTAGTGCCGATGAATGGTATGCTTAAAAATGGCTAAAATATTAAGTTGTATGTTACCTATAGTCTGCCACAGTAAACCAAACCAAAACAAATGCTTGTCTGGCCCTCGTGGGGGTTACATCCTCTGGGGAAACAAACCACCATCAAGCACAAGCAGTAACAGCTGTGGCAATGACTACACAGGACGGCACCTGCCCGACCCTGGAGGGTCAGGAAAGACACAAGGGCACTTCGGGGGCTACGCATAGGTCCCTCTCTCAGTCCTCAGCTCTCCTGCTTGGCGTCTGTAGCATCTGAAGCTGCGGAGCTTCCCCTCTTCACTGGAGACTGCCTTTCACTCCCTCGGGTACCATCTCCTGGTTGACCCCTCAGCCCTCTGGCTGCTCCTTGGTCCTGCTGCCCAGCTCATCCTCCTCTGCTTCCTTGACGCCCAATCACAGCCTCCCTCAACTGTTGCTGCCACACGCCTGTCATCTCCAGCTCAGCTAAGGAACAGCTTCCCACGGGCCTCCAGGCTTCACAGACCACTCCCAGCAGTTCTCTGCACAGCGACTTTTGCAAAATATAACGTAGATCATATCTTCCTTACTTCAAAGCTTCCCTGAGGGACTCTTCTTTTTTCTAACATCATTATTGAAACATAATCCACATAAGATCCGCCCTTTTAAAGAGTACAACTGGCTGTTTTCTAGTATATTCACAGAGCTGTGCAAAATCCCCATCTAATTTCAGGACATTTCATCACCCCAGAAAGAAAGAAACCTCACACCCTTAGCGGTCACTTCCCACTCCTCCCTCTCTCCAGCCCCCAGCAAATACTAATCCACTTTCTATTTCTCTGGATTTGTCTATTCTGGACATTTTCATACAAATGGAATCATGCCAGGTTTCTTTCATGCAGCATAACTTTTTCTTAAGGTTCATCCACATTGCAGCAGTGGCATGCGTCAGGACTTCATTTCTTTTTATTCCCAAATCAATGGAAATTTGTGAGGGTTTTTTCCAGATTTGTTAGCTGCTTCACGTATTTGGTCTGCGCAGTGGCCCTGCTTGGACCCACTGCCCAACACTCGCTGGGGCACCACCAGCCACAGAACGCTGACGGGAGCCCAGGGCTCAGCCCTCCAGCGAACCTGCACACTCCACACGTAATCTTGGTCTATACAGCAAGTTAACTCTGGCCAGAGATGACACTGAATTTGGGTTTCTGGCTCCTGTGAATAATGCTGTTATAAATATCTGTGTAGGGCTTTTCTGTAGAAGCCTGCTTTATTTCTCTTGAGTACACACCCAGGAGCAACATGGCTGGGTCCCGTGGTAACTCTATGGTTAACACTCTGAGATTGTGCCAGACTGTTCTCCTGCAGGAATTAAGGTGTGGGCCTTAAGCACACGTGGAATGATTAGTCTTAGGGAGGGAAGGAGAGGAACCTGCTCTGCGCCTGAAGAACAGAAGCGAGAGGGGGTATATGTAGCTATGAATTCATTTGATTCTATGTAGTGTAAGATTTAACAGGAAAGCTTTCACTACAACGGCTGGAGTAAGGCACACATTTTATCGCTGTTTAATTGTACTTCCAGTGGAAAGGCACACAGACGAAAAAGGACTTAAACACGGAGGTCACACTCACTTGGGTAGACCTGCGAGTCTGCCGAGCTTGTCTGGAGCGCGCTTTCCGTAACGACTCTGCTTCCTCGTCCCGTACAGGAGTCAGATACGACCTGTGGGGAAGGAGGGTCACAGCAGAGGTAAGGCCCTGGGGGCAGCAGGTGCATCTGCACACCGAGGGGGTTTCTGTGAGCCAAGATGAAGTGAGGCCGACTCAACCCGACAGCCTATCGGTGAACATTACATAAGCCAAGACATCATCTGTAAACGTGTCAATGTTCGTGCAGAATCACACCACCTGTAACCGTAATATGAGAATTTTCTTTCCTCTTTCCCATCCTTAGACTTTTTATCTCGCTTCCTGTCTTCGCGCCCTGGCTAGCACTGACCACAGTCGTTTCCCTGCTTCGCTCCCGCCTTCAGAGAGACAGCTTCTGGCCAAGACCCTGCAAGACTCTGCTCCTCAGGTGAAGGCAACTCCCTCCCCGCCCATGGGAGTGGGCCAGGAGGGGCTTGTTGTTACTTGTTTCATTGTTTAATCCTTAGTGTGTGAACTTTATCATAGGCTTTTCTTCCCTGTATACTGAGATTATCATTTCCTTCTTTCTTCTGTTAATATGGAGAATTACACTGAACAATTTCTGAATGATAAAACCACCCTAAATGCTTGGGATAAGCTCAACTTAATCATGATGTATCACCATTTATAGAGACTTACTTTTTATATAGATTCAGTATTATTTACTTTAGGATTCCTCCATCCGTGTTCATGCTAGAAACTGGCCTGTAATTTTCCCTTATAATAACCCAGCCAGTCTTGAAATTAAAGTTATGAAAGTTGGGAAGTGTTTTCTCCTTGTCTATTTTCTTTGAGAATCTGCGTAAGACTGGGGTCATTTCCTCCTTAAATAACTGAAAGGGTTCACCAATAGAGCCATCTGGGTTTAGAGTGTTCTTTATGGGAAGGTTTTAAATAAGGGTTGCAATTTCTTTAATAGAATTAGGCCTATTCAGATTTTCTGTTTTGGTAATATTCGTTTTTCAAGGAATCTTATCTATATTTTCATATTCAGTACCACAAAACGGTTCATAATATCCTAATAATACATTTTAACTGTCACTGTAATACAAGCGTATCTCAGAGATACTGCAAGGTCAGTTCCAGACCACCACAATAAAGTGAATCTTGCAATAAAGTCAGTCATGTGAAATTTTTGGTTGTCCAGCACATATAAAAATTATGTTTACGCTATACTGTAGTAAGTGTGCAATAGCATATCTTAAAAAAACAAGGTACATACTTTAATTTAAAAATATTGCTAAAAACGCTAGCCATCATCTGAGCCTTCAGCAAGCTGTAATCTTTTTGCTGGTGGAGGGTGTTGCCTTGATGTCGCTGGCGGCTCGCTGGTCAGGATGGTGGTTGCTGAGGGCTGGGGTGGCCGTGGCGATGTCTTGGAAGAAGACGGCAGTGACGTTTGCCTCACTGACTGACTCTTCCCTTCAAGAACGATTTGTCTGTAGCCTGTGATGCTGGCTGATACCATTTTACCCACAGTAGAACTTCTTTCAAGACTGGAGTCAATCCTCTCAAATCCTGCCCCTGCTTTATCAATTAAGTTATGTAATATTCTAAATCCTCTGTTGTCATCTTAATAACCTTCACAGTATCTTCACCAGGAGTAGAGTCCATTGCAAAAAACCACTTTCTTTTTTTCTTTAAATTTTATTCTTTTAATTGGAGTACAGTTGATTTACAACGTGTGTTAGTTTCAAGTGTATAGCAAAGTGATTCAGTTACACATATACACATATCTATTCTTTTTCAGATTCTTTTCCCTTATAGGTTATTACAAAATATTGAGTAGAGTTCCCTGTGCTACACAGTAGTCCTTATTGTTTATCTGTTTTATGTGTAGTAGTGTGTACATGTTGACCCCAAACTCCTAATTTACTCCTACCCTTCCCCTTCGGTAACCGTAAGTTTGTTTTCTATGTCTGTGAGTCTATTTCTGTTTTGTATATAAGTTCATTTGTATCTTTTATTTATTTATTTTTTTTAAGATTCCACATACAAGTGATATCACACGGTATTTGTCTTGGTCTAGCTTACTTCACCTAGTATGATAACCTCTAGGTCCATCCACGTTGCTGCGAATGGCATTATTTCATTCTTTTTTTTTATGGCTGAGTGATATTCCATTGTCTATATGTACCACATCTTCTTTATCCATTCATCTGTGGATGGACATTTAGGCTGCTTCTATGTCTTCGCTACTGTAACTAGTGCTATGAATAAGAAACCACTTTCTTTGGTCACCCGTAAGAAGCAACTCCTCATCCTTCAAGTTGTATCATGAGATTGCAGCAATTCAGTCACATCTTCAGGGCCCCATTTCTAATTCTATTTCTCTTGCTTTCTCCACCAAATCTGCAGTTACCTCCTCCACTGGAGTCTTGAACCCCTCGAAGTCATCCATGAGGGTTGGAATCTACTTTTTCCAAACTCTTGTTAAGGTGGATATTCTGATCTCTTCCCATGAATGACAAATGTTCTTAATGGCATCTAGAATGGTGATTCCTTTCCAGAGGGTTTTCAATTGACTTTGCCCAGATCCATCAGAGGAGTCACTAATCTATGGCACCTATAGCCTGATGAACTGTATTTCTTTTTTTCTTTTTTCATAAATTTATTTATTTATTTTTGGCTGCACTGGGTCTTCGCTGCTGCGCGCAGGCTTCCTCTAGCTGCGGCGAGCGGGGGCTACTCTTCGTTGCGGGTGCACGGGCTTCTCATTGCAGTGGCTTCTCTTGTTGCGGAGCACGGGCTCTAGGCGTGCGGGCTTCAGTAGTTGTGGCAAAAGGGCTCAGTAGTTTTGGCTTGCAGGCTCTAGAGCGCAGGCTCAGTAGTTGTGGCACACAGGCTTAGTTGCTCCGCGGCACGTGGGATCTTCCTGGACCAGGGATCCAACCCGTGTCGCCCGCACTGGCAGGCGGATTCTTATCCACTGCACCACTGGGGAAGCCCTCGAAATGTATTTCTTAAACAACAAGGCTTGAAGGTTACTCCTTGACCCACAGGCTGCAGGACGGGTGCTGTGTTTGCAGCATGAAAGCAACATGAGTCTCACTGTCCATCTCCATCAGAGCTCTTGGCTGACACCAGGTGCACTGTCAATGAGCAGTCATATTTTGAATCTTTTTATTTTCCGAGTGGGTCTCAACAGTGGGCTTAAAATATTCAGTAAACCACGTTGTAAACAGGTGTGCTGCCATCCAGGCTTTGTTGTTCCACTTACAGAGCACAGGCAGAGTAGATGCAGCATAATTCTTAAGGGCCCTAGGATTTTCGGAATGGTAAATGAGCACTGGCTTCAACTGCAAGTCACCAGCTGCGCTAGCCCCTAACAGGAGAGTCAGCCTGTCCTTTGAAGCCAGGCACTGACGTCCCCTCTCTAACTGTGGGAGTCCTGGACGGCATCTTCTTCCAAGAGAAGGCTGCTTAACCTACACTGAAAATCTGTTGTTTAGTGCAGCCACTTTCAGGAATTCTCTGAGCTGGATCTCCTGGATAACTCGCTGCAGCTTCTGCATCAGCGCCTGCTGCTTCACCTTGCACTTTGATGTTACTGAGAATATGCATCTTCCCTTAAACCTCATCAATCAACCTCTGCTAAGCTTCCAGTTTCTCTTCTGCAGCTTCCCCACCGCTTTCAGCCTTCATGGAACTGAAGAGAGTTAGGGCCTTGCTCTGGATGAGGCTTTGCTGTTTCTGGTTTGATCTTCCATCCAGACCACTCAGACTTTCTCCATATCAGCGATAAGGCTGTTTCGCTTTCTTATCATTTGTGTGTTCACCAGAGTAGCACTTTTAATCTCCTTCAAGAACTTCTCCTTTGCGTTTCCAGCTCGGCTGTTTGGTGCAAGAGGCCCAGCTTTAGGCCTATCTTGGCTTTCCACGTGTCTTCCTCACTAAGGGTAATAATTTCTAGTTTTTGATTTAAAGTGAGAGATGTGCAACTCTTCCTTTCACTTGAATACTTAGAGACCCTTGTAGGGTTATTAATTGGCCTAATTTCAGTATTGTTGTGTCTCAGGGAATAGGGAGGCCCAAGGAGAGGCAGAGGGACAGGGGAACCGCTGCTGGATAGAGCAGTAAAAATACAGCATTTGTTGATTAAGTCTGTGGTTTCATATGGGTGGTGGTGTGTGGCACCCCAAACAATTACAATAGTAACATCAAATATCACTGATCACAGATATCACAACAAATACGATAATGAAACAGGTTGAAATATTGTGAGAATAACCAAACGTGACACAGAGACATGAAGTGACCAGATGCTGTTGGAAAAATCATGCCGAGAGACTTGCTCGACACACACCAACCTTCAATTTGTGAACAATGCAGTATCTGGAGTGATCATGTGAAGCACAGTAAAATTAGGTCTACTTGTACCTACAGCAATGGTTCTCAAACTGTTTGGTCTGAGGACCCTTTTATATTTTAAAAAATTATTGAGGATCCCCAAACAGCTTTTGTTTATGTGGGGTATTATCTATTAATATTTACCTTATTAGGCAGTAAAGTTGAGAAATTAAACATGTGTTTATTAATTCATCTGAAAATGATAGCCCTATTCATGTTAACATCAATAACTTATCTTTTATGAAAAGTAACTAAATTTTCTAAAACAAAAAAATTTAGTAAGAGCGGAATTATTTTACATTTTTGTAAATTTCTTTAATGTTGGCTTAACAGAAGAGAGCCCAATTCTCATATACATTTCTGCATTCGATATGCTGCAATTTGTTTTTTTAGTTAAAATATATAAAAACTATCCAGTCCTGCACAGATATGTAGTTGGAAGAGCAAGAAGCATCAGAATAGCTCTTTCAGATAACTGTGAACAGTCTTCTTTGATCCTATAGTCAAACACAAGTGGTACTTTCTTCAAGGTTAGTCGCACTGTGGAATCTGAAATGATGTTAACAGAATTTTCATATTCTGTTATGCCGAAATCCAGTGGTCTATCTTGTACTTTGGATGGAATGTCTTACCCAGGCGTGTCTTTGGTAAAATCTCCCAAATGGTGACACACTTCATTATGCA